TACGTAGTACTTCTTTGATTATAGTTACCACTACATTTTTTAGTTCTGAAATTATTTCTGATCTGATTTCTTCTATGCCTTTCTGTAGTTGATTCTTTACTGTCAACGCTATTATTTCAGAGATATCTGGTGTGTGATTTCCAGTTTCCTCAGTGCTAGTGTCTTCTGCATTTGTATTGGGTGGACTCGGGGCCTGAGACTACATTTTGTTCCTTCTTTTTGTCATTTTGTATACCACTGTCTTCTGAGCTTTGGTGTAGAGCTTAGACAGAGTTATTACCTTAGCACCAGGTCTGGATCTATGAAGTTCAGATTCCTCCAGGTGGGTGTAGTTTGGATCTGGCTGATGTGCTCCACTTCTTTCTGTTGCAGGCATTCGAGTTGAACCCTTTGTGTCTCTCTGGCAAGATGTTCTGCTCCTGAATCAGCTGGGTTGGTCTTGCCTCTAGCCTCTTTGCAGGGAGTTCTGCTGAAGGGTTCCGTGCTGGGCCTGCAGCCTGGGTCAAATGAGTATCCGTGGCCCGGGTTGTCTCACTCACTTGCCAGGCCAGGGTTCTGGGTCTGTTCAGGATCCCGTCAGGCCGGGTCAGCTCTCTCACTCACTCCCAGGCCTGTGCTCAGGGTCTATTCTGGATCCCGCGGGCCAGGTCGTCTCACTCACTCGCCAGGCCTAGTCTATTAAGGATCCGGAGGGCCCTGGTCGTCTCACTCACTCACCAGGCTTGCACTCTGGGTCTGTTCAGGATCCCGCCAGGCCCCAGTCGTCTCACTCACTCACAGGGCCTGCGCTCTGGGTCTATTCAGGATCCACGGGCCCCAGTCGTCTCCCTCACTTGCCAGGCCTGCACTCTGGGTCTGTTCAGGATCCTGCAGGGCCCGGTCGTCTCACTCACTCGCCAGGCCTAGTCTCTCCATGGTGTTATAAGTGACAGAATTTTCTCCTGTTTTTGTGAATACTATTTATGTGTGTGTGTACATCTCATATTTTCTTTATTCTATCTTTTGATAGACAGTTAAGTTGATTCCATATCTTGGCTACTATCATTTGTGATGGAACAAACCCAGGACTGCAGATATTGCTTCAAAATACTGATTTAATTTCTTTTGTATTTAGACTCAGTAGGAGCTTACTGGGTCATATGTTGATTTTCACTGTAATTAAAACAATATTGTGTGTATATGCATGTGTGCATGCGTGCATGCGCGCGCGAAGCGCTCGCGTGTATGTGTATAACAGGGGAAAGTCCAGACATCAAACCCTCACCCAGAGCTCAAATAATAAAGAAGAACCTATTTAGAGCTGAAGAATACTATGAACAAAATAAAAATTACCATAGAGTATATAAATAACAGACTTGATCAAACAGAACAATCTGAACACAAAAAGAAGTGATTTGAAGATATATAGTTTGAGAAAACAAAAAACAATAAATGAAAACCTGGAGGATTTATAATGATTCTTAACCATTGACCTGTACAGTTATAATAAACAATAAAAACAGTGTAACTGCTGGCCTGATGAATAAAATGCTCACATTAAAGGCCCACTGTCTTATTTTTTTATCTTACACATCAAGTACATCTTTCAACAACAATAACAACAAAACTACAGTCTGAAGAGACAAAGAACTTGGAAGCTTAAAGCTAAACCTGAAAAAGAGCAGACTTACCAGCAACTTTAACCCAGCAAATCCTATTTTGCTTTAGTAACTGTATTTTATCATTATTATTTCAACATTCTCTCCAATAATAAGATGCAATTTTTCTTTCTGAGGACAAGTAGCCTGAAATTTGTCAGAGAAATTCTAGCTGCTATTTGTATTTATAAACTGACAGGTATTGACTGGCAGCAAAAGCATTAATACATTTGCAAAGATTTATAATTCCTAGCATGAAAATCTCCAAACTATCTCTTAAACATATCACTGTGTCACCTCAAAGTCCTTTGAATGTTTCAGTAGCATGTTATAACTACACCTTCAAACTTGAGTCTAGTTTTGGTAACCTCCAGCTTTAACGGCATTTCAGTAGGTGTCAGACAGCCAGCTCGGCTGTAGGCCTCCTAACTCCAGACAATCTATATTGTTACTCTAATAATTATTACTTTAAAGAAATTAACATGCTCACAGAGGTTATTAACATAAAGGTGCTTAAATTAAAGGAAACTCACGTGATTCTGTTGCAGAAACATCCATAGGTTCTTCAGTTGAGTGGGCTTTTATGAATTCTGAAATAATAAAAGTTATATCTAACATTAAATTGTAAATAACAATTACATTTACTGAGTTTATATGCCATAGTTTTTAATAATTCAAGAGAAAGAAAAAAACAACAGCTGCCAATACTGGATCTTCCTAGTTAGGCAATAAATGGTGATATTGAAAAGAATGTATGAAGCAAGTGATTTTGAGCTCAGCATTTTCCTATCACAATGTCTTCCCTCTAGATTTATTTATATTCATTGGCAGTACCGTCTTTTTCTAATCTTCCTTTCACATTCAATCAACAACTTTTGCAAATTATATCAAGAACATGTATCTCAAATCTCTCTCTTTTGTCATCTTTTACTAGCATTCAACTATATATAACACATCTAATGCGCAGTAGAAACCTTCCTTTCCTATTTATAGCCCACAAATTGATTTTCTACTGTAGGGCCAAAACATTTTCCTTAAAACTAAACCTGATGATACAGTTTCCCTACACAAAGTCTTCAATAATTCCTTTTAATACTTGACAAAATACAAGTGCTTTACGCTCAGGCCTTCTGTGATGGGGATGCTCATAATTGCATCTAGCAGAATACACTTTTATTCTAATGAGGTTGTCATTCTCTATTCATGCTGTTTATTCATTATTATCATCTTCTTAAAATACTCAGTATTTTTTTCCTTAAGTCCACTAAATTCTGCTTATCCTTTAAGGCAGTATAAAGTTTCCCTGAAGCACATGTATCTTTGTTGTGCCTTATAATATATTAAAAGATTCATAACGTGCCTGTGTCCTTTGGGAGTCTGAATTTCATGAGGGCAATAGGAGAACTGAACACTATTCATTTTGTATATTCCTAGGATTTGGAATATAATGACAACTATCTTGAGATACAAGCTCATTAGTAAAGAATTTAAAATTTACTATTTATAATTATAGCTCTGTAAATTTTTAACTACAAGTTTTAAAATGTCAGCATATTTAGGAAGTCCCATGTAGGCTAAACATGTATACAATATTATCACCTTTAATTTGCTGCTCCACAGATTCATAGCTATCCATTTTTGTTGATGGCCTTTCTTCATCCCTCCTGAATTTTTAATAGAACAAATTTTAATATTTCAACCAATGAGTTTAGTCTTAAGACATACAAAGTTTGTAAAATTAAAATTAACATATTTAAACCTTTTTCATAGTTATTAAGTGAAATTAAGAGTAAGAATTATTTAAAATACAAAAGTCAAACTATGTAATTCCATGTATTCTGTGAATGTACCTGACAATACCAACAATATTAACAACAAAAATATAGGATGAAACATGAGATTTCTTATTCCTAATGTATTATTCAAAGTTGTATTGATTAATATCATAAAACATAGAATGAGACTATGGAGCAAACATTTAACAATGATGTAACCTTCGGTAAATTGCTCAACCTCTCTGAGCTTCAGGCTCTTCACCTACTAAAACTTAAGTATAATAATATCTTTCTTATAAAGTATACACAAGGATCACACATAAAAGTTATTAAAAAGTACCTCCTCCACAACAGACACTTACATGTCAGGTAAGTATTATATTTGGTCTGAAACTATTCATGCCTCCCTGATGACAGCTCAAATGAATATGCCTGAGTTGGAGAAGGACAATACATCTCAACAACTGTTAATTTAAGTTTATAGTTTTTTATTTAAATATACTCACTGTACCTAGAGATAGTAATCACCGTATGATAAATAATAGCTCCTTCAAATTAAGGACACTACATATTTTAACAATATGAAATAAAAGGGTTTTATGTATGTTTAATGTAAAAACAATGGGTGACTGTGAATCAAATTTGTAAGTTGGTCATATAATTTTTAATGAAGGCATTCATAAAAACACATTAAGCCTTAAGTAATTTGTTTCTGGGAGTAACCTAGTCAAATGCAGGCATTTATAAGTCAGATATTTCATCAAATCCAGTAATGCTCAATAAATTTTTTTTATGTATTTGGTACAGGGTCTCAGTATGCAGCTCAGATTCATAGCTGATACTCCTGTTTTCAGCCTCCCCAGAGCTGAGATTATAGGCATGTGCCACTATCCCTGGTCTTGATGAACCCCTCAGTGCACCCAGAGGCAGGGCTGGCTCAGCACGTGGGGCCAGAGATTGAACCCTGCTCCCTACACCTGCCTAAGCAGGTGCTCAGTCCATTGAGCTATCTTGCCAGCCCTCAATAGAACATTTTAATAACAAAAAATGCATGTGGCTACTAAGTACATGAAATGTGGCTAGTATGACCAACCAATTTTCTTAACTGAACTGAATTATAATGGGAATAATTACGTGTACCTAGTAATTACTCTATTGGATAAGACCATCTCAAATTATGAAAAATTTCAAGCAGAAACAAGATGGCTACCCGTTCTGATCTGATTCAAGTGCTCTACATAAAGCAGTGACATATAATCCATTTTCTTACATTCATTACTAATTATATGCCCCATTTTATTGCTTTTTTAAATGCTTTTCTTTAAAAATTTTATTTATTTATGTGTGTGTGTGTGTGTGTGTGTGTGGCCACCTCAGCCCACCATGGGGCGGGGCTGGCTGGCATGTGTTGCTTGGGGATTGAACTGCGGTCCCTGTGCTTTGCTAAGCTTGTTCTAAGTAGGTGCTTTAGACCACTGAGCCATCTCACCAGCCCCCATTTTATTGTTTTTAATGAAACAAATTCTTATATTACACTTACACTGACGTGGGCATTATGGCTTTCCAGGAGTAGTTAGACCCATCATCACTGAGGTTATTTCTCAGTTTTTGGAGTTTTTGCATTAACTTCACTATATGTGCAATGTTTATCATGATATTTTTATCAGGTGCTGGAAGATCTTCTTCTAAAATATTATGATCTTTACTTATCTAAAGTAATAAAATTAAAGTTATTTAGGAAATACTCACTTCATTCCCATATCCCCAAAATTTCATTATTTCCTTCATCAAATCTGAGTAATTTTTATAATATTCTTCTCTAAAGCTATATATGCTAACATAATATTCTACAAATGCACTTACATGGAAAATCATCTATGAATAGAGCTGGAACTCACTGAAGACTTCTGCATACCAGAAATGGCATCAAATCCTTTATTTACTCTTTTTCTTGTACAGGATCTCGCTATGCAGCTTGGACATATAGTGATCCTCCTGTCCCAGTCAGAGCTGGTATTACAGGTGGTGCCATGACGTGGAGCTGGCACACGGTACCAGGGATCAAACCCAAGTCCTTGTGCTGGCCAAGCAGGTGCTTAGAATGCCAAGCTATCTCCCCAGCCCTTTATTTACTCTTTGACATACAGAAACTTTAAGCAAATACAATAACAATAAACACAACCCAAAATATTAATAAGATTAATTCTAACATACTACCTCAACTAAATTTTAAGAGTACCTTTACTACAGCAAATTACAGAAAGATAACAGTTTGCTCACTAGGCTATTTTTTAAATCCCAGTAGATACATGTCCATGGAGCTGGGATTCCTCAGGCTGCTCAGGAAAACTTACCTCTTGTGTCTTAAAACCTTACAAGAAGATCAAGCTAAAATCCAACAGGCAGTGTGGAAGTCAGTTTTTTTTTTTTTTTTTTTTTTTTTTTGTGTGTGTGTGTGTGTGTGTGTGTGTGGCCAGCTCAGCCCACCAGGGGGTGGGGCTGGCTGGCATGTGGTGCTGGGGGATTGAACCGCGGTCCCTGTGCTTTAGCTAAGCTTGTTCTAAGTAGGTGCTTTAGACCACTGAGCCATCTCACCAGCCCTTTTTTGTTTGTTTGTTTGTTTGTTTGTTTGGTTTTTTGTTTCCTGGCACCAGGGATCAAACTCAGGACCTTTCACTTGCCAGACAGGTGCTTATACCACTGAGCTAAATCCCCAGCCTTATCTTATGATTCAGGATGCTTTGACAGGATAACAGCAAAGATCCACTCACACAGAAACCTCTAATCCTTATGATGGGAGAGAAAGGAAGGTAGCAAAAATGAAAGTGAAAGCATAGTCCTAAGGCCTTGAATAGAAAAGTTCCAGCACTAGATATTCAGGATATGAACTTTATTTAGTTATGGCTCTCTAGAATGGGATTAAAATATAACAGTAGGTGGTAAATGCTGAACAGTGCATCACAATTAAATATTATTCTCAATTTATTTCCTCTCAACTCAAAACTCTATCCTTGCTTTGGAATAGTGCAATATTTCTTCCCTGGCAAGTGGCATGATTCTTTCCTGAATCAGCAGAGGCACTGGCATAGGAAGAAGTGTCACTTCTCACTTCTGCCATCTCTCTGCTCATGGCTAAGACTGTATACAATATCCAGTAGATCTGATTCCATTGCAAGTTTCCTGGCTAGGTACATGGCATTGACAATTCCTATGGGTATCTTTTCCCAGAATGCCTCAGCAAAATATTCCAGTGGAGAACTGTGCGGACAATGTCCTTGCAAGAGGAAACATTTCCTGGGAAGCATTTACCAGGAAGATATCTACAGAGTGTAGATTCTGATGGACCACACTCAAATGCAGCTTTACAGTGAGTTTAAATTTTAGCAGGATAGCACCTATGCACTTCTTTATCCTCTGTGATGACAGCTACTCCATCTTCAGAAGTTCTGGGTTTTAGCCTTGGGTTGGATGGAAAACAAGACTAAGAGTATTCAGATTTGATCCTCCCTGAAGTGTTATGCTTCCATCCTGGGGCTGGAGGCTGCTCCCTGTAGTTCTTCTCCTATATTAATCCAAATTGTCTTTATTGCTTGGTTGATATTCCTTACTGTAGGATGATAAGTCTTTATCTTAAACTTTCCCTAATTAATTATTGTGTGGCTATTGCCTCTGGATTAAACCACAACTGATCTATTTTCCAACAAGAATTATATCTGCACTGAAGTCCTTTATAGGACAAATGATGATGATGCTTCACTAAAAGTACAGAACAGATAGTAGGTATTTTACCTCTAAGACTTTATCAGAGAGACCTATGTGGCACAGTTCTAATAGGACAACTCTGAAAAGACCAGGGAAATCCAATATTTTGGTAGTGCACCTTACCATACACCTTGATTAATATATCATGACCACAGGCATTAATAGTATCAACAGATACTGGCAATAGAACGTATTACCAAAAAAAGCAAGACTGTCAAGTAATAGTATGGATTAAGCCCTATCATAAGCATGTAAACAAGAAGATTTCTAGTTACCTCATATACATAAAATTTTGAATCCAGTCATCTATATGTGTAAAAATGTTTTGTGTGATATTTAAACACAATCCATCAATCAGACTTTAAGATATACCCTTTCAAAATAAGAGATCGAGAAAGTTAAATATCACATTTTCTTCTATATGATATTTAAAATAGATAAGTTAGTGAGCGAGTAAGAGAGTAATAGAAGAAAACTAGAGGATAGACCTTTGAAGATGGAGAAGGGGGCAAGGGGATAAGAGACATGAAAGAATTGAGAATGATCAAGATATGTTTAAATGCCACATGCCAAATTCCCAAAGCAAATCTCTCCATTCTGTATTAATAACATTAAGATACACCCATAAATAGTGAAAAAATCCTTCAGAAGTAGTAGAAAATACACATAGGCAATGCAACTGATGCCATCAAGTTAAGAGAGTATTCAAGAGACACAATTAAGGATTCAAACTTAGAACTCCAGGTGAGAAGTATAACTGAGCAGTGAGGATTTCTTTTGGGGATTATGCATGTGCAAGTTAAGATTTCATGTTTACTGCAGATGATAACTGGCAATAAGTTACAAACAGTACATATAGAGATTAATGCATAATTTATGAGGCAAAATCTAAAGTACTTATGTACAGACTATTAAGAAGAGGGGAAAGTAACTTGTTAAGGTTGATTACCTTGTTTCTGGTTTATCTAATTGGATAAATGGCACCAACATTAACAAAGCTATGGAACTAGAGGAGTAGACTCATTGGGTTTGAGGTAGAAAATATTGGGAGTCCAGTGAGACACTGAGGGCAAGAGATGTATTTTTAAATTGCTAGTGTGAAGGTAAAATTTGAATGGAATAACTGATGTTACCTAGGGGGAAAATTTGGAGAAAACAAAAGACATAGAGTGAAATCTCTTGACAGGTCAACATGTTATGGTTGAGTAAAAAAGATGACTGAAAAAAATATCAAAGGAATTCAGTTTATCAAAATATAAATTGAAAGCACAGTTTATAGAAGTCAAAGGGGTAGTGTTTCAACAATAAGAATGTGATTAATAATGTTAACTATTTTACAAAAGGGTAGAGAAATTGTGGACTTCCATCTGTTTCTCTGGAGAAGTAATAGCCAATATGCCATAATGGAAGACTCACCCACACTTTGGTAATTAGCAATATCCATCTAAAACAATATTAGGTGCAGACCATGAAAGTCTTCCACACAGAGGTCAGAGAAAAATTCATTAGTAGGTACTCACTGAAAGTTGTAATTTCTACCTTTACACTTATAAGTGAGCCTCATTTTTCTAAATAGCCTGGACCTCAACAGTGTTTAATTTAATCAGGGTAAACCATACACATAATCAAGAGAAAACCTGACTAGTTCTCCAAGTCAGTAAAGCTGTCCTGGAAAACACTCCATTGTATTAGTGGCATATGAAAAGTCTTTTCCAAAACAGAATCTAAAATCCTAAGGACAGAGAATAGCAGTTTTCAAACTGTAAGTAAAGTACTTGAAAATAAAAAGTACAAAAGGGTATCATTAAAATAACATGCTAAACTTAAGAGAAAAAATACATAATTTTATGTCCACACAAATTTTATACTTGATTTTTTTTTTTAGTATTGGAGGAATATAAAATCGATTTTTCTCTACTTAGTCCTTTATATGAATTAGGAAAAAAGAAATTGTTAAATTTCCATCATTCAATTTTAGTAAATATATAGGAGTCTCATATGAATATATGAGTAGAGTATATAGACCACTCCAAAACATTGTTTTCTACTAATTCCTCCTCTACCCAAAAAGTTTGTAGCCAATTTTAATTAAAAAAACTTTTATACATACTTCAATTTGGCTTTCAAATAAGCAAGTATATTAATTAGCAATTAAGAAATGCTATGCTTACCTCCTCCATTTGGTTGACCTGTCGTTGAAACCACTTTTTTAGAAAAAAACAAAAGACAGTTAATGACACATTGAATTTCTGCTGGAAAATAAATTGTAAATACAGGGTACCTGTGATTCTTCATCCATCAAGTACTGTTCCTCACCCATGTCACCCTGGGTGCAGACTGGGGAGAATGCAACATACAACTGAGTATAAAATGTTTAAATATTTATAGTAACAAGTGTGGATTTTAAAAAATACTTCAGAACTAACAAACATCTTCATTTACATGCATATTTCCATTAAGTTTTACCACATTTAAGCTATAATAGAATGAACATACCTTAAACAAAGATTCCAAAATCTGGAAAATAAAATAAATTTACAATGTATGCTATATTTAATTCAAGTCTTATAATTTTCAGTCATAAAAATGCACTAGAGACTAAATATAAACTTTGTAAATGTATAATTCAAAACCACTTTTATATGTAGAAGCAGCATTTTCCTGCATTTTATACACATAACTGACTTCTATAATAAAAATAATTCTCCACACTTATACATTAATAAATCTTCAAAATAATTAGCATAAATCATTTATTTTCTTAAAATATCTAAAGCATAAAATTTAAATTACTATCAAAAAGCATTACATTTATATTCAAATACAATAATGAAACTCATTAACTTTGTAGCACTGTTTCTTTGAAATAATTTTATTCATGTTAAAGGGATCAAAATAACAAGTTACAAAATATCTTGTAATCTACTTTATGAAATAAATATAATTTCACTAGATATGTTTCTGTAAAGTACAATGAACTGGTTTGGATAATTGTGAGAGACAATGAGTAAATCCATACACCCAAGTATATCTTAGAATATATTAATACTTACCACTGAAAATATGTGTAAAATTAGTACATATGTCAACAAAAAGACTGTCTCATGTCTGAGTAAAAGTTCTGAATTAGATTACTAAAGAAAAATGCTACTATACATACTCAAGCAGAGAAAAAGTGTTATTTACAAACGATGAAAAATTAGGTTAGTCTAAAATTTCTCTTGTGCAATACTAACTCTGCATCAGTGGTTCAAAAAGTGTAGCCCCACAAGCCACAGCATCAGAGTGACAGACACACACTGGAGAGTAATGCACATTCTCAGGCTCCACCTCAGCCCTCTGACAACTCTGGAAGCAGGGCTGACAGGCACAAAGTCCTTTGAGTCATTTTAATTTGCCTGGTAGGTTGAGAGCCACTGAACTAATTTAAGAATGTATCTTAGCAAAAAGACTCGATCCTCCAAGGAAGTACAATAAAGAAAATTAATATCCATGTTGGATGAAAAATATTTTTAGACCTATAGGTATTTAGAAAATAATGTCCACTCAGACACATTATCTTGGAGTAACATGTTTCATTCCAAGGCTAAAATCTCTTTCTGCTTTGGAACCTGACGGGGAACACTAACAAACCCCACCACTCATTATATCTAGAGTTCTAAGATTATTTTAAACCACCAAGAGCTAGGAGAACAGTGCCTTTCTATATTCCAGTTACCTACATCATCAGTTACCTGATACTGTGGAATCCAGAACATCATTGATAAAAAGTGGAAGATGAAAACTGATCAGAATTGAAAAAGCCAACATGACAGAATTAACACTAAAATGGGAAAATATTATGAAAATGTAGAGCAAAGATCCATAAAAATTGTGAGGAAAATATTAAACCTCCACTATAAATTTAATGACATTATCAACTAAATATAAAGACAGAATAAAATCATCCTCATAAATTCAAAAATTTTGAATCGCACATTCCAACCTAGCAAAACAAAGCAACAAAAATCCTAGAAAGCTGAACACATGGGAAAAGGATAAACAAAGTAACAAGGAAATATTTTAAAGACTGCTGCTCAAGGATTGGAGTTTAATGGTGCTGTTACACAAAAGCTTCCTAAAGAGAATACAGCATAATGTTTAAAGATAAGTTAAAAATGTCAAACTGAAACCACAGTTCCACATAGACAGGTGCATCACAGAAGTCAAGAAAAGACAAATGAAGAAGGATTACAAAGGTAAATTTGCTGATGTGTCACAAAAGCGGCACAAGGAATATAACAGTATGGGAAGGCATTAGTATCCCTGCAGGGTTCATTCAATAAACTCTGGAAGCAGAAACCAGATTGAGTAAATGGGTGTGTGGTGAAAAAAAATCAATATTTAAGTATAAGGATAATTTGAAACAGGATTGTGTGGGGACAGATAGAGAGAAACAGGACAAAATTAGAAAGACATATGTCATCAATAGAAGGGTTTTAAAAAACACTGTTTAAAAGTCAACAAACAGACTCCTAGAAGACAGCAGAGGGTTTTGCAGCAAAGAATTAGCTTCTGAGTTGGGAGTGACCAAAGATGGAAATTGATCCTATGTGGGAGGGCAGGATAAGGCTTCACTGCCTAAAGTAGTCAAGCTATTTCAGTCTAAAGAACAACAGTAGAGTTGTTTATTCATACTCTTGCAAAATTAGTATCAGGAGACACAAATTTGCCTAGAGACTAACATTCGAAATTGTCCAGGCAAACTGCAAAGAAGCAAAGGAAGGGGCAATCTGAATGTTCTCCTGGCTTTCTCTCTTGACTTCTGGCTCCTGAGAAAGGCAGGTTAAATCTACAAGGACACAATGAAAGGGGCTAACTCCAGAGGCCATTAGGGAGGAACTCACTAGTGGAATGGAGCAGGGAATGCAGTGAAGTACAAAAACTGGTGAGTGACTTTAGTACAAACAATTGCCATATCCCCTGGAGAGAATGCTTGGTAAGACACCATCTCAAGGAGAGTGCAACTAAAGCCTGAGACTCAGAGCAAGTATGGGTTGCCTTTATCTTGGGGGCTCCAACTGTTAAAAGTCCCACAATGACTGGGTGAGTGATGACCACAGAAGACATCCATAGGTATAGATCCATGGGCAGGCAAGCAAGAGACACATACAGTGCTACAAGCTAAGTGACTTGGGCTGCAACCACACAGCTAGAACGCAGGTTAAACTTGAACTTCTATGGATTTGAAACTTTTAGAACCAGCACTCTTTCATAATCCTGCTGCCAACTTGCTGGGGATTGTCCAGAATGGTTCTGGGCTCTGACTGCCTCTTTTTCTACCAGCAAGATCAGAGTCATATCTTGCTCTGTACCACAAAATTTTAAGACCTAGAAGATAACCACAGGCTTGAAATCACAGAGAAATTTCTTTGTCTTTTTCTCCTTGACTTTTACTATTGTAGCTATTGTTGTTTCAGCAATTTTCTGTTGTTTGGTGGAGTTTTTTTGTTTGTTTGATAGTAAGCATTGTTTTTGGTTTCCCCCCTTTTTATATATTTAGTATAGGGTCCATCTGGTCTCACTAGACAGATTGGACCCATTAACCTCCTGTTTTCAGCCTCCCAAGTGCTGGGATTACAGTGTGGGCCACCATGTTTGGTCTGTCCCAGGGGCAGGGCCAGCATGGCATGCTCTGCCTGCCTAAGCAGGTGCTTTTAGTCCACTGATTGACTATCTGGCAGGCCCTGTTTTCCCCTTTTATTCTTCCCTCTTTCATTAGTTTCCTGAGTCTTAAGTAATCTACTTTTGTCTTTTACCCTTGCTTCTCATCTCTTTTTCTTCTTCTTTTTTTCTCTATTATTTTCTCTTAAAGTTTTCTTCCCTTAGGGTCAAATCATGCTCTTGAATAGATATTAATATTTGTAATTTTCTGATTTGTCTTAGATTTTGTTATATAAATATAAATCTTGTTCCTGTCAGTAAAGATGGAAAAATATTATCAGTTTTGTCATTTTCCAATCTATGTTTGACTCTACTATTACTGATTGTACTACTTTAGCCAAGGTGACATAGTGATTGTGATCAGTTGATCTTCCTTGTGTCCCAACACTTCAGTTGTTTGGGGTCATAAACAATATTACAGTTGAGTACCAAAAAGCAGGTACTAGGCCTAACAGGTTGCAATGTTTCATCCCTAGAAAACTGAAAAGGCAGGATACTTGATAGAGTCAAAAACCAAAATTCATCTATGCCTAGAAGACATCTTTTAGAAGTAATCATTTGGGGCTAGTGAGATAGCTCAGTGGTATAAAGCTTCTGTTTAGGCCAGCTTAAGCAGGGCCAGGGGACTGTGGTTTGATTCCTGGCCCCACATACTGTGCCAGCTCCACCCTCATGGTGTGCTGAGCTGGCAAAAAAAGTGATCATTTAATGAGCTCTTGATGCTACTAATAAAGTTATCTATTATAAGCAATTTATAAGCCTCAGTGCAGAGGAAGGAGGGAAGCAGAGAGAGAGAGAGAGAGAGAGAGAGAGAGAGAGAGAGAGAGAGAGAGAGAGAGAGAGAAACAGAGAGACAGAGAGACAGAGAGACAGAGAGACAGAGAGACAGAGAGAATACAGAACTAAGATACAAGCAATAACTCCCAACTCATCTAAGGCAAATCCATGGGGGAATTGAGGGGGAAGAAATCAAAAGTTACCCAGCTGAATTTTCGAAATGGTAAGAGCAGGACTAACAAAGCAGATGAATGAATCTCTGAACAAAACCAAAACAGAAATATGTACCTAGATAATTAAAGAGATAATGATAATAATGAAAGAAATGATTAGTGAATCTAGAATTAATACAAATTAAAAAAATTGGGGAGCTTAGGAAAGACATAGAAATCTTGAATGCTCAATTTAGAAAAGAGTTGAATTCCATAAACAGAGCCAACAGAAATCCAAGAGATGAAAACTTCTACTGAAGGCACATGCCACAGAATCAATCAATATGAATGAAGACTGTCTATGCCTGGCAATTGTCAAATCAATGATTTCTTAAAAATGGTAAGAGGCCATGAAAAAATAAATCCAATAGCTGCTAGATAATTCAAACAAGACAGGGATATTCTGGAAAAATACAATAAAAAAATTTCAAGAATGTCAATAGAGAAACATGAACAACCAGCAAGGCTCTGGTGGGGGCATACATGGTCAGCCCAATCCAGGCAGGAACCCCAGAGACCCAGCAAGGCCCCAGCTGGGTTCTTACAATGGGTTAGTGGGACTACTGGTGTGAAAAAGTCCAAAGAGCCAGCAATAGTGAAGATAGGAACCAGCAGTTGGTAAAATGGATGAACCAGCATTGTGTATGATACACAGACACATGGAACGAAATTGGTTGGTTTTGGCTACTCCCCACCCTTTTTGAAGAGAACTCTAGCATCAGAAGATCAGTCCCACACCCTACATCCAGGGGTCAAGATCAGCCCCATACCTAGCACAAATCCCACTGTAAAGCTGGGTGGAGGGTCGGGGAGATGCTCAGTGGAATAAGCGCTTCCTTGGCAAGTGCAAGGGCCTGAGTTCAATCCTCAGTTCCTCCAAAAAAAAAAAAAAAAGCTGGCTGGAGTACACATGTATGGAATCCAATTTGGACCTACCACAGATCTGTAGACACTGGGGAAATTTTAGTATTTTTATCTTTCTCTCTCTGACTGGTTTTCCTTTTTCTGTCTGGTTGTATTTTTTGGTTTTGTTTCCTCTTTTTTGTTATGTCTATTTTTGCCTTGTGTTTTTCTCTTTTTCTTTTTCACAACTTAGATTTCTTTTCTTTTGTTTTCTTCTACCTGTTCTCCTTCTTTCATCAACCATCTTGCTTGAATTTATGATAATTCCAAATGAGTAAACATTGTCTCTTCTCTTTCTAGTTTACTTTAGTACTCCTTGCTTTTCTCTTCCATTCTTTCCCTCTTGTGTCCTATAGTTCCCAAAGCTTGGGTGGTCATGCTTTGTCCTACCACTTGCTACTGTATTTGACCTCATTCATCTCTCTATCTTGCCCATCCTTCTTAAACTCCCAAGAAAACAGGGTAAAACCACTCCAGTAAGAGGACCATGCCTAAAAGTGCCTAAAAGTTCCTAGTATATGTTGGATTTTTCTATATAACTGTAGAGTTTGATCTATGGTTAGAGGTATCAGGTTAAAAACTACCACAGTTTGTGAGTAGCCAGACTATAATTGAGACAATTGTTATTCCCAATTGTACTACATTAGCCAGGATGTCATACCTGTTATAATTTGTTTTTCTTCCCAGCATGACACCAGTGCAATTGTATGGGCTCATAACAGTTACTGCAGTCCAGTACCAAAGCACTGGGTTTTGAGCCAAATAAATAGAAAATTCTCACCCTTAACACAATGGGAAGGTAGATTCTTTGGATAGACACAAAGACCAATAAACGTCCACACTTAGAAGATATCCCTGAGGAACAGGTATTTACTAGGGAAATCTAGATACCAGGGATAAAGATATTTTCCATAAGAAATCTACAAGCAGCAACACAGAAAACAAAATAAAATAAAAAGCAGAAAACAGAAAGACAAAGGAGCAAATTGCAGCCCCAGATTCCCAGCCCACCCAAGACAAATCCTGAGCACAATGAGATGGAGAAAATCTGAAGCCAACCACTGGAACTTTCTGAAACTATAGGGACAGAAGTGGAAAAAGCAAATGGAAGAGGTTACAGAAAAAATAATCTCCAAGGTACAAAAAGAAATGGTGATGAAAATGAAAGACATTAAAGAAGATACAGATTTAAAAAGCTAGTGAGTGTCAAGAAAACGATACAAACCATGAATACTCAACGTGGCAAAGAAATGGAATCCATGAAATAGATCCAAACAGCAATCTAGGAGATTAAAATCTCTATTGCAAATAAACACAGCAGACTGAATGAAGGCAAGGACAGAATATCAGAACTAGAAGAGATGATTGTGGCTAGTGGCCATGAAAAGAAAGATATCTTAAAAATAGCAAATAACCATGAAAAATCAATCTGAGAGCTACAAGATGGAGCAAACAAGAACAACATAAGATCAATTGAAGTCAGTGAAAAAGCTGAATAGTGTAAAATATACATTTAAAAAAATCCTGGTTGAAAAAGTAATAGTAGAAAACTTTTAAAACATGGATAAGGAATTTGATGTACAAATAAATGGAAGTATATAAAACTCCAAATAGCCATAATCAAAATAAATCTACATCCAAGCATATAATAATTAAGATTCCAGAAATTGAGGCCAGGAATAGAATACTAAAAGTGGCAAGAAAAAAAGAAACAAATCATCTATAAAGGAAAGCCCATCAGAATCACAGCAGACATTTCAATGTAAACCCTCAAATCAAGAAGAGCTTAAAGTGAGGTATTTCTATGTATTTATTTATTTAGTGGTACCAAGAATCAAACTCAGGACCTTGCACTTGCCAGGCAGGTGCTCTGCTGCTGAGCTGTCTCCCTGGCCTACAGTGAGGTGTTTCAAACCCTGAAAGAAAACAAAAGTCAACCCAGATTGATGTACCCTGCAAAACTATCTTTGAAAATCAGTGGATGAATAAGATACTTCCATGACAAAGAAAAATTGAAATTCATGACTGCCAAATCACCTCTTTAGAATGTTCTGAAGGATACATTAGAAAGAGAAAACAAAGACCACAAGCACAAGAACACCAACAGAAAGAAGCCACCTGGTAGGACAAGCAACTAAACAGAGGGGAAAGATGAGCAACTAACAACAGGAAATGTAAATACTCACCAATTAGAAACAGATTGTCAGAATGAGAGAATGGGGCTAAGAACTATCGAAATGGTTTAAAATACCACACAAGTTTAAGAATATCTGGCTGAAGTAAGTAGCCAGGTCACCTCCTCTATGGGAGTACTCTGAGAAAAGTGAAGGACTAGTTATTCTATCTAATGAGAGAAAAACTGAAAAAGAACCATATAAAGAATCCACAAAAATTTATAAATAGGAAAATATATTCCAAACAAAAGAATAAGAAATCACCTGAAACTGACCCTAATAAAATGAAGACAAAAATTATCTGAGAAATAACCCAGCATGAAATTGATGAAGGTGCTTAACCAAGGTCAGGAGCTGTCATATTTTGGGGCTTTGTAAGGGGAAAAATACAATACAGGACACATATTTTACAAGATTATTATTATGGTGAATCATGCAAAGAATCATATATGAAGTATGCAGGAAATCTGTCCACACACTATAGACCTAAGACTCCAGCTGAGGGCCTGGATCCCATGATAATATCTTGCTTGAGTCCAGATGAAGACTCAGAGCCCAAAACAGTGCCTCATGCAGGTGTGTTTCATGGACCTGCACTGGGAAGACACAAAGGTCAGTGTGGAAGCTACAAAGCCTATACCAGCAGGATGAAGGAGTTGTGCTAGCAGGCTGAAGGATCTGAACTGGAGCCAGGAAATGAAACTCAAGGTAAGAACCACAGCTCCACCAAAATTACCACAGCCATCCTTGGCAACAACGAAGTTCTGAGATCCTCCAAGAATTAGAATAGCCAAGCTCCTATAAGGAAAGCCAATGAGACAAGCTTCTCCAGGAGACAGAGCTATACACCATCATCCTCTCTAGGGCCAGGAAGTGATGGTCAAGGTGAGGACCAGAGCTCCTTCAAAGTGTATAGTAGCCAGTCTCAGTGAAAACAAAGTTCTGAGCTCCTTTGATGATGAGAAAAGCTGAGTTCATTAGGGCAGCTAGCATGACAAGCCCCTCTAGGAGAACCAGTAATTCCCTACAACCTCCCTAACAGCTTCCAATAGCTTACAAACAGCTTCCATTCTTCTCCAGTTCTGCCCTTTTATGCTTCTGGCAACAATCCTCAGATTGTTCAAAAAAACCCTGAAGCTCAGGTGATTGAGACAACTATTGCCATAACTGACACTGATCACAGCTGAGGAGGCTACACAAAAGCTGTTCCACGAGGTCCATTCAGAATCAGAGTAGCGTCCCTTCCTTATCTAGTATATGAAGACTGGATTTATTTATGTAAAAGCCATTCTAAAGTTAGAAGAGCTGGTTATTCCAGCAGATCAAAAACAAGAATTTAGGGATACGGGAACCATTTAAAGCAATGAAAAATGACCTTCAACAAAGGAATACAGGGGCCGGGGAGATGGCTTGGTGGAATAAGTGCTTCCCCGGCAAGCACAAGGGCCTGAGTTCAATCCAAGGTTCTGCAAAAAACAAAAACAAAAACAAAAAAAACCCACAAAGAAATACAGTAATTCTCCTATAACCAGTCTCAAAGCAATAAAAGAGTTCATGGTTTGAATGAGAAATATAATAAGTAGTTCTTATTATTTGGGTAGAGAACCAACCCAACATTTGGAGCTGAACAGTTCAATGACTATCACAGAAACTATAATAGAGAGTTTTAGCAATACACAAGATCAATCTAAGAAAACAGTATCTCGCAAAATAAAAGTAGGCACACAAAATTGTCCAATCAGAAGAGGAATTGTGGTGAATTTTATTTTTATCCTTTTGTTTGACTTTAATATTACTATTAATTATTACATTATATAACATTACCTGCCTGTTAAGAATAAAGAAAACTGAACAGTGCACTCCAATACATTTCTAACTCTTTCACGGACTGAATCTAGGCTAATATTGCTGACTGGATGTAACATTCAAGTTCCAAAAAATGAATGCAAATTTTAATAGCTTGTACTTGTCAGTTTTCAGGGAATACATACATGGTGTTCTTCCTTAACTGCTTCTTCTAGCTGAGCTGCAAATTGGGAGCAACAGACCAAGAACGAATTCATATCATCCCCAACCTTTTAAAAAGAATAGAAAAAACAAAAAGTTAGTCTTATTTTATAACTCATCTGAGTATTGGTTTATTTCTTTGTAGACTTAACTAATGTTTCATAACTTTTGTATGTGACTTATGTCAGCTCAAATATGAAAGGCAAGAATCTATGCTTCAAATATTCTAGCAAATCCTCTCTCAAAGAGAATGTCGAACAAAGTAAGTTCCAGAAGTAGTTCACTAATGCTACATCTCTTCTCATTCTCCTCTGCACAACTGAAGAAACAAACTCTGACACCAAACAACACAAACAAATCTTAAAAATGTGATGGGGAGACTGAGCATGGTGGTGCGCACCTGCAATCCCAGCTCTTGGGAGACTGTAAACAGGTAGATCACTATGAGTCCGATCTGGTAGTGAGACCCTGAACACCCTGTAGACCCTTTCCTAAAATACAAAAAAAAGTGATGTGGAAAGGTAAATAAAGTATGATCCATACCATGTGATTATATTTATATGAAATTCTAGGAGAAGGAAAAGCTATAGTGAAGGATCAGTGACTTAACCCAACTAAAAGAGAACTGATTGGGAAGGAAAACAATAAAGGCTTTTTGAATAATGGAAATGTTTTGAGTTGGATTATAGTAGCTATTATACATGGCTGTAAAAAGAAAAAAAGGAGGGGTTAGAAAGTGGAGAAATGTCATTCCACTTGTTTTTGGAATAACTGTGATTTGTTTCTTCAATACTGGAAACTGAACCTGGGGACTTTGAACTGAGCTAAAATACTCCAAGACCTGTTTTTAATTCCTTTATTTTGAGACAGGGTCTCACTTAGTTGCTAAATTTCTCAGGCTGGACTCAAATTTGAGATCCTCTTGCCTCAGCTTCCCAGAGTGTAGGGTGACTGAAACTTCAGGCCCTGCCAGATTTAACCAAAATATAACATAAATCATTCAAACTTGAGGTTTCCACTCCTGCCAGTTCAAATACTGATATAATCAAAGAAAGCAGCCCGTCAGATAAAGCAACAATAGGAGAGATTATAGATTAGAGAAATTAGAGGAGAGTTTTGTCCAATTAAAGGTGAGCTGTGGATCAGTTCCAACTAAATTCAACTTTCAAAGGACTATAAATTTCACATATTAATGACAAAGAAAATAAGATCAATTCCAAAAGAAAAAATAGAAGCAAACAATGATGATCCAAACATTGAAATTTGAAATAAGTAATCTTAAAAATCTGTTGTTGATAAATGAATTTTTAGGAAGAGAAACAGAAAAGGCAGACAGGTTAGATCATACTGAAAAAGTATAAAAACCTCTTAAAAGAAGCCAAAATGTAATACTACATGTAAAAATTTTGACATTTGAAGTAGAAAATTCACTAGATGGAGCTTAATGGTCAAATGGACAGTGCAGAGTGATTGAAACTTGGATAGTTGAGATACACTGTCCCAACAGAAGCACAGGAGTCTCCAAGTCAGCATCAAACCTTTTGAGCATAGGGATATTACTTGAGTCAAATACCACAACATACTCTTCACCATAAGTCTATGTATGTCCATAGGTTTAAAGAACAATGGGGTAGTGAAAACTTGCCCTCCATCTCCTCCACCAAAGCAAGGTCAACAGGGCTCACAGGGGAGATTTTTACCATCTACTTGGTAGTAGTAGGTGGAACTTCCATCCTCCCATCAACATTATGGTGGTGGGGCCAACCAAGGAAAATCAATTTTACTCTTGTCTAAAAGGAGTCATTAGAATGCAGCAAGGATGTCTGGTCTTTCATTTCTATTCAGTGTGGTTCTAGCAGCAGAGCAAGTCAAGCCAAGAAAATATTAAACATTCAGATCAGAAAGACAGAAGTAAAATGAAGATGACATTCTTGTGTAAAGAAAATCTCAAAGAATCCAGAGAAAATGCCTAGAATTAAAAATTACAATGAACAATGTTGCATGATATAAGATCAACACACAAAATATTAGTGAAATGTCAATATTCATAATACATGAGAACTAAATTAAAAACATACTATTAACAATTACTTCACAAAACTTGAAATCTCAATGTAAAAATCAAGCAAACCATACACAACATCAAAATCATGGAAAATCTAAAATGCTGGTAAGAGAAAACAGCCAAGACCTAAATAACTGGAAAAACATACTGAATTTATTGATTGATAGACTCAATCAAGGACTCCCAATTATATCACGACATAGACCAAAATAAATTATGTATAAAAGTAAATATAGTAAAAGAATTGTGTTGTACTCATAAAGTATATTAATGTATGCTTGAATATTAGAAAATATGTAAAATAATAATCTTTTAAAATTATTTTTAAAGAGAATAAAAAATAGCAAAAAGAAATTAGAAAAAATACAGAATTCCAATAAACAAAATTATAAGAATTCAACAATGAAAATTATATTGTATAATGTTGTCTTCAAATTAGTTTAGATTACCAGATACAAGCATACAAAATTGGTCAAAACACAAACACACAAAGAAAGTTACAAAAAATTGAAAAAGAGAAGAAAAAAAATTGTAGTATTAACTGCTCCTTTCGATAGGCCAGTAGAAATCAGCAGTATAATTACCCAAGCTGTTCTGTATATGTACATAAATATATCTTTTTCATTTCCTTCTATCCTTTGTCCTTTTCCTCATCCCAGTTGTCCCTTCCCTTTGAACAGATTCTTTCCCTTTCAGAGTATGTATTGTACCTTTCAAATTTTATTTACTCTTTTAGGCTCTTATACTAGCAAGACAATATGATGTTTGCACATGTGGGTCTGATTAATTTCACTTATGAGAATAGTCTGTAGTTATATCAATTTATCTATAAAAGACACAGGTTTATTTTTTATAGCTGAGTAATACTCCATTGTGTAAAAATACATCTTTTTTATCTACTCCTCAGTTGACAGGAATTTGGATTTTTCCAAGATTTAGCTATGACAAATTGCATGCTAAAAACATGGGTGCACATATATTGCTCCAATATGATTTTTTTCAGTTCATTTGGAAAAATACCCAGGATGGGAACATCTGGGTTAAATATGATCTCCAATCCCAGATTTTTCACAAACCTCCACACTTATTTCCTTAGTGGTTGCACCAGTCTGCACTCCCACCCACAGTGGAAAAGAGTTCCTTTTCCCTTAGAACCCCTCCTGCATTTGTTATTGGCTGGCTTTGTGATGATAGCTATTTTTTCTGGGGTGAGATGGAAGCTCAGTGTTATTCAATTTTCATTTCTCCAATGATTAATGATGTTGAACTTTTTTAATATATGTAGTTACCAGTTGTATTTCTCCCTCTTAGAAGTGTGTATTTATCTCACATGCCCATTTGTGAACTGGGTCTTTGAAATTTAGGGGCTTAAGTTTTTAAATTCTTTATATCTTCAAGATGGAAAGCCTCTGTCTGGTGGACATTGAAGCTAATGTTTTCCCCCAATTTGTGGGTTTTCTTTTCACTTTGTTGGTGGTTTGTGATGTGTTGAAACTTTTCAAAAAGATGAGACTCCAGTTGCTGATTCTTTGAAGTACTTCTTCTGCAGTTTGGGTTTTGTTCATCAACTCTCTTCCTATCTCTATGTCTTCCAGATTTCTACTTACTTTCTCTTCCAGTAGATTTAGTGTTTCTGTTTTAATAAATCTTTGATCAATTTTGACTTTACTTTAGTGAATGGTGATGAACATGGGTCTAATTTTAGCCTTTGGCATGTGGAAAGCTAGTTTTTCCAGCACCACTTAGCAAATGTGCTTGGCCCCTTCTTTAAGTATAAGGAGACTGAATGTATTTATAGTTGTGTCTGCATCTTCTAACCTTATGCTCCACTGTACTTTTGTCTGTGTTTTGCCAGTATTATGCTGATTTTATCATAGTACCTTTGTAGTGTAATTTCAAGTCAGGAACTGTAATGCCTCCTGTCTTTTCATTTGTTTCCCAGGACTGCTTTTGCTATTCTAGGTCTCTCCTGGCTCCAGATGAACTTTGGGAATATTTTCTCTAGATCTGTGAGGTATACTAATGGTACTTTAATTGCAATTGCATTGAATCTATATAGCAATCTTGGGAATATGGCCACTTCACAATGTTGGTTCTTCTTATTCATAAGCAAGGAATATCTTCTCATTTTCTGAAATCCTCTTTGATCTCTTGTTTAGAGTACTATAATTTCCACTGTATAAATCTTTTACTTTGTTCAATTATTCCTAAGTATTTCATATTTTTGGATGTTTTTGAGAGAGGTGTGATTTCCATGGTTTCTTTCCTATTGCATGTACTGTTTGTATACAGAAATGCTATTGATTTTTGAGTGTGGAATTTGTATCTTGCTACATTACTGAACTGGGTTGTTAAATCTACATGTCTTTTACTGGAGATTCTGGGGTATTCTATGTAGAGTGTCATGTCATCTGAGAATAATAATTTCACTTCTTCCTTTCCAATCCTTATTTCTTTTATTGCTCTCCCTTGTCCAACTGCTCTGGCTAATGTTTCCAGAACTATATTGAATAGAATCATGACAGTGGACATTCTTGTCTTTTTCCTGATTTTTAAGTGAATGCTTTAAATTTTTGTCTATTTAGTATGAGTTGGATGTTGGTTGTCACAGAAGGCTTTCATCAGATTGAGGTAAAAACCATTTTATCTCTTCTGATTTTCCATAGGATTTTTATAATGAATGAGTGTTGGAACATTGCCAAAAGCTTTTTCTGCAGCTATTGAGATGATCATGTGATTTTTGTCTTTGGGTCTACTGATGTGGTGTAGTACATTTCTTGTTTATATTGACCCATCCTTGCATTCCTGGGATGCATCCCACTTGGTCATATTATATAATATTCTTGAGGATTTGCTGCATTCTGTTTAGTATTTTATTGAGGGTTTTCCATCTATGTTCATTAGGTAGAGAGCAGTTCTCTTTTTTGGTTCAATCTTTCTCTTTCTCTTTCATTCCTTATTGCATGAATTTGAATTTTTTTCTTCTTTGGATGAGGTTGGCTA